GAGAGAGAGAACAAACAGGAGAATCGAGAGAGAGAGAGAGAGAGAGAGAGAGAGAGAGAGAGAGAGATACTGAAATTCAAGATGAAAAAAGAAAATAACCTGAATGAAAAATGCAAGAGAATCAATGGAGAAGAAGACAATGATGATGATGATGATGATGATTGCAACGTTTATCTTGAATTTCTTTTCAACGAAACAACGAAAAAATTCTTAGAAAAGGTATGAAACACACACACTGAACGAACAAAGAAAAATATGAAAACAGGAGAGGTGTTTTCATTCATTCCATTCATACCATCATTTGGAACCAGAAAAAAAATTATTAAAATATACAAATTGAAAAAACTTACACACACACACACACATGCATATTGAAGACACAAAGATATGATACTTATCTATTTATACTTAACAAATATTATCATCACAGCTAGCATTATGAAATATTCTTAATCAATGGATGAATATGTGGAACAATCGAAGAAAAATTTACCGTTTTTTTTTACTCTTCAAAGATTTTGCGCATCTTTTTTCTCTTCTGTTCCTGATGTTTTTCACTTTGTTTTTTACATATTTGGTCTGCGGTAAGATTTCTATTCTTTCTTTTGTCATCCTATGATATTTATGTATATCATAGGATTATTATCATGTCAATGGATAACAGCAACAAGAAGGAACAGAAAAACTAAACGAATACCTTGCTTTATTTTGTCTTTTAAAAAACAAATTTTTATTGTCATTTTAATCAAATGGTTTGCTTGATGGTTTGGTTTGTTTTGTTTGTTTTTTTGTTTGGTTTCATCATTTATGAATTTTTTGTTTGTTTGTTTGTTTGTTTCCTTGGTCTACCGAATATTTTCTCAATCGTAAATTGTATAAAAATAGAATAAATTCATTCGATTTTTCTTGTTATTCTTGTTGTTGTTATTATAATAGAATTATAACAAGAATGATTCATTCATTCATTCATTCATTGATTATTTTTAGTAATTTAATCAAGAAGAAAGAATGAACATAAATATTATGTAATAAGAAAAATGTTATTTCAATGTTGTTGTTGTTGTTGTTGTTTTGGTTTTTGGTTTTTCTTATTTGTTTGTTTGTTATTATGATGGCATTTTTCTTCAAGAAAACGAAATGAAAAAGGAAAAACAGAATTTCAATTTGCAAAAAAAAAAATTCCAATTTCAAAGTGATGATGGTGATGATGATAAGGAGAAAATTGAAATTCCTATAGTTAGCCATTTTTTTTTTTTTTTTTTTTTTTTAAAAAAAAAAACCCCAATAGTGATTTTTTTTTCTTTTTTTTTTTTTGG